TCTTTTTTCTACGGGTAACTTAAATCCTTACTATTTCATTTTGTAGGCCCAGCAGTCTGGAAAAACCAAGAAAACGGTCGAATGTCCCATAAAACGCACCAAATTATCCAAATTTACGGCAATAACATTCCTCTTGCGTTCTACCGCTCTCTCGGGAAGACTTGAAACGGCTTCAGATCCCTGAAAAATGAAAAAAAAATGGTTAGAAATTGGTTCTTTCACATAGAAAATTCAATTCTTACCTTTTTAGTATCCATTTTGTAGGCCGAGCAGTCTGGAAAAGCCAACAAAACGGTCGAATGTCCCATAAAACACACCAAATTATCCAAATTTACGGCAAAAACATTCCTCTTGCGTTCTACCGCTCTCTCGGAAGACTTGAAACGGCATCAGATCCCTGAAAAATGTAAAAAAATGGTTAGAAATAGGTTCTTTCACAAAGAAAATTCAATTCTTACCTTTTTAGTATCCATTTTGTAGGCAGAGCAGTCTGGAAAAGCCAACAAAACGGTCGAATGTCCCATAAAACACATCAAATTATCCAAATTTACGGCAAAAACATTCCTCTTGCGTTCTACCCCTCTCTCGGAAGACTTGAAACGGCATCAGATCTCTGAAAAATGTAAAAAAATGGTTAGAAATAGGTTCTTTCACATAGAAAATTCAATTCTTACCTTTTTAGTATCCATTTTGTAGGCCGAGCAGTCTGAAAAAGCCAACAAAACGGTTGAATGTACCATAAAACACACCAAATTATCCAAATTTACGGCAATAACATTCCTCTTGCGTTCTACCGCTCTCTCGGAAGACTTGAAACGGCATCAGATCTCTGAAAAATGTAAAAAAATGGTCAGAAATAGGTTCATTCTCATAGAAAATTCAATTCTCACCTTTTTAGTATCCATTTTGTAGGCCGAGCAGTCTGAAAAAGCCAACAAAACGGTTGAATGTCCCATAAAACACACCAAATTATCCAAATTGGCGGCAATAACGTTCCTCTTGCGTTCTACTCCTCTCTCGGAAGACTTGAAACGGCATCAGATCCCTGAAAAATGTAGAAAAATGGTCAGAAATAGGTTCTTTCACATAGAAAATTCAATTCTTACCTATTTAGTATTCATTTTGTAGGCCGAGCAGTCTGGAAAAGCCAACAAAACGGTCGAATGTACCATAAAACGCACCAAATTGTCCAAATTTACGGCAATAACAATCCTCTTGCGTTCTACCGCTCTCTCGGAAGACTTGAAACGGCATCAGATCCCTGAAAAATGTAAAAAAATGGTTAGAAATAGGTTCTTTCACATAGAAAATTCAATTCTTACCTTTTTAGTATCCATTTTGTAGGCCGAGCAGTCTGGAAAAGCCAACAAAACGGTCGAATGTCCCATAAAACGCACCAAATTATCCAAATTTACGGCAATTACATTCTCCTTGCATTCTAATCCTCTCTGGGAAGGCTTCAGCATTCCTAAAAATACAGAAAAATCGTAAGACAAGAGTTTCTTGTTACAGAAAATTCAAACCTTACCTTTAAAAAGGAAGAAATCGGTCGAAATTGTCATGAAACTTTCCAAATAATCCGGATTAACTGTAAGAACATTCCTCTTCCATGCTAATCCTCTCTGGGAAGGCTTATATAGGCTTCAATATACCTAAAAATACAGAAAAATCATTAAAAAAAGGTTCTTTCTCATAAAAATTAATTCCTTACCTTTTTCAGTATCCTTCGTTGCGAGAAATGGAGATCGATCGTTCCTGTAATACCATAAAAAACAGACATTTAATAAAAAGCAATATTTATACAACAAAAAAACCTTGTAAACGGAGTATTGCTTGATTTAAAATGATTTACTTACCTAATTATCAATGAAAATCGCACAAAAAACTGAAAAATCGACACAAAAATCGCTTCAAAAATTCTTGAGTAAAATGTCGCCGAAAACCAATTGAATTGTCAATAACAACGGGATTCAATTATTTTTATCGAATGTATATTACGAATAAAGGCAAGTACCAATATCAAAAATATCAATACAAAAATTAGGAATGACACTTGACATGACATTTGACGTACACGTTTTTTTAAATTATTTTGATAAAGAACAGGGCTGCGCCCCCTTACAACCACCCTTCTCTTTATGTTTCTTTTTTAGTAAGGGGGCTGCGCCCCCTTACAACCCCCCCTTTCTCTTTACGTTCTTTTTTAGTAAGGGGGCTGCGCCCCCTTACAACCCCCCTTTCCCTTTACGTTCTTTTTAGTAAGGGGGCTGCGCCCCCTTACAACCCCCCTTTCTCTTTACGTTCTTTTTTAGTAAGGGGGCTGCGCCCCCTTACAACCCCCCTTTCCCTTTACGTTCTTTTTAGTAAGGGGGCTGCGCCCCCTTACAACCCCCCCTTTCTCTTTACGTTCTTTTTTAGTAAAGGGGCTGCGCCCCCTTACTACCCCCCTTTCTCTTTACGTTCTTTTTTGGTAAGGGAGCTGCGCCCCCTTACAACCCCCCTTTCTCTTTACGTTCTTTTTTAGTAAGGGGGCTGCGCCCCCTTACAACCCCCTTTCTCTTTACGTTCTTTTTTGGTAAGGGGGCTGCGCCCCCTTACAACCCCCCTTTCTCTTTACGTTCTTTTTTAGTAAGAGGGCTGCGCCCCCTTACAACCCCCCTTTCTTTTTACGTTCTTTTTTGGTAAGGGGGCTGCGCCCCCTTACAACCCCCCCTTTCTCTTTACGTTCTTTTTTAGTAAGGGGGCTGCGCCCCCTTACAACCCCCCTTTCTCTTTACGTTCTTTTTTGGTAAGGGGGCTGCGCCCCCTTACAACCCCCCTTTCTCTTTACGTTCTTTTTTAGTAAGGGGGCTGCGCCCCCTTACAACCCCCCTTCCTCTTTACGTTCTTTTTTAGTAAGGGGGCTGCGCCACCTTACAACCCCCCTTTCTCTTTATGCTTTTTTTGTAAGGGGGCTGCGCCCCCTTACGACCCCCCTTACATAGCGGCTCGAAGGCCTGCGGCCTTCTTCGCCGCATCTTCTTCGACACTCACCTGGCCGGATCCTCGCTCGCTGCGCTCGCTCGGTGCGATTGGAATTTCGTTTGGAAATAAAAAACATTCCGTATATCAATTTTTTATGATAAAATCGCCCCGTACATCAAATTTTCATTTTTCCTTAACGTAAAAACACCCTGTACATCAAATGTCCCGTCGACGTTTCCTTAGAAACGTCAGTGACATTTTCAGTCAATGTGAGGTTGGTTCTTTGCCGCTGTCATTAGTGTACACTTTTCGATATTAATATAAACATTTCTCGGTTATTCGTCAATAAAATGAGGAGAAAATTGGGAGGTGAGTACATTATTGTACGTTCTTTCATATTTAACCGTTTAAAGCGGCTAAAAGGTTCGAATGAAGAAAAAATCTTGCACCGCGATAAAGTTCCACTCAAACTAAACGAACGCAAATCGTCCATCAAATAATTTTTTGGAAAATGTGTCAAAAATTTCAACTTTAAATCGATATTGTAAACGAAAACGAATTTAGCTGGAGAAAAGAGGTCGATTTTCGAAAAGAGCGCATCCGTTTACGTCCCCCCATCTACCTCTCCACGCCCAAGTAATTCAAATTTAATTTCGATCTCCAATCGGTCGTTAACGCCTGGGGTTTTATATATATAGTGACTCGCTAAACGCTCGGAAAGGGGGCTCCGCCCCCTTTCAACCCCCTTGCGCGATGTAAAAGACTATGAATGTTTCCTAGACACTGGCCCGAATAGTAAAAGGCCTTTATTTCTTCTTCTACTTTAAACTTGTTTTTGACAGTTGACATTAATTTCATGTTAATGTTAAACGTACTTAAATAATGTTATTAATTTGCTCAATTTCCTGCAAGAGATTAAATTTGTAGCAATAACTAAAACAGGTACTTCAATAACAATTTATTTTATCACTTAAACATTTCACAATTAACATACTAATGTATTGTTTACGAAGGTTCTTCAACACTGTTGTTCGATCGAATGAATAGAAAAGCCTCCAGAAAAGACTCCAGAATGCTGTTCAAATTGTTCCTGGTTGGTTATGTTGCTTTGCCAGTTGCTGTTTGCTTCCTTTTTTCCAGTCTCAATCCTGCAAAATAAAGAAATTTTAAGTAAAAGGAAAATCTAACCCTACTTTTCATTCTACAGGTAACAAAAAATCATTCGATACTACGTTATTTTTATAATTTTTGTTCCAAATGAATGTATTCGAATGATATTTTGTCTTTTTAACGAATTATTAGTAATTACATACCTTTTTAGCATAATATTTCATCGTTCGAAGGTTCTCCGTTCGAAGTACTGGGTTGTTCGGTTAATGTTGAAAATGGCAGAAAAAATCCAAAATATGCCTCCAATTGTTGTTGGCGGTTTATTCCAAGCTACTAGTTGTCCTTTGCTTCTTATTATCCCGTGCCAATCCTGCAAAATAAGGAAATTTTAAGTAAAAGAAAATCCAACAGTACTCCTTTTTCTACGGGTAACTTAAATCCTTACCATTTCATTTTCTAGGCCGAGCAGTCTGGAAAAGCCAACAAAACGGTCGAATGTCCCATAAAACACACCAAATTATCCAAATTTACGGCAAAAACATTCCTCTTGCGTTCTACCCCTCTCTCGGAAGACTTGAAACGGCTTCAGATCCCTGAAAAATGAAAAAAAAATGGTTAGAAATTGGTTCTTTCACATAGAAAATTCAATTCTTACCTTTTTAGTATCCATTTTGTAGGCCGAGCAGTCTGGAAAAGCCAACAAAACGGTCGAATGTCCCATAAACACACCAAATTATCCAAATTTACGGCAATAACATTCCTCTTGTGTTCTACCGCTCTCTCGGAAGACTTGAAACGGCATCAGATCCTGAAAAATGTAAAAAAATGGTTAGAAATAGGTTCTTTCACAAAGAAAATTCAATTCTTACCTTTTTAGTATCCATTTTGTAGGCAGAGCAGTCTGGAAAAGCCAACAAAACAGTCGAATGTCCCATAAAACACATCAAATTATCCAAATTTACGGCAAAAACATTCCTCTTGCGTTCTACCCCTCTCTCGAAGACTTGAAACGGCATCAGATCTCTGAAAAATGTAAAAAAATGGTTAGAAATAGGTTCTTTCACATAGAAAATTCAATTCTTACCTTTTTAGTATCCATTTTGTAGGCCGAGCAGTCTGAAAAAGCCAACAAAACGGTCGAATGTCCCATAAAACACACCAAATTATCCAAATTTACGGCAAAAACATTCCTCTTGCGTTCTACTCCTCTCTCGGAAGACTTGAAACGGCATCAGATCCCTGAAAAATGTAAAAAAATGGTTAGAAATAGGTTCTTTCACATAGAAAATTCAATTCTTACCTTTTTAGAATCCATTTTGTAGGCCGAGCAGTCTGGAAAAGCCAACAAAACGGTCGAATGTCCCATAAAACACACCAAATTATCCAAATTTACGGCAATAACATTCCTCTTGCGTTCTACCGCTCTCTCGGAAGACTTGAAACGGCATCAGATCCCTGAAAAATGTAAAAAAATGGTTAGAAATAGGTTCTTTCACAAAGAAAATTCAATTCTTACCTTTTTAGTATCCATTTTGTAGGCAGAGCAGTCTGGAAAAGCCAACAAAACGGTCGAATGTCCCATAAAACACATCAAATTATCCAAATTTACGGCAAAAACATTCCTCTTGCGTTCTACCCCTCTCTCGGAAGACTTGAAACGGCATCAGATCTCTGAAAAATGTAAAAAAATGGTTAGAAATAGGTTCTTTCACATAGAAAATTCAATTCTTACCTTTTTAGTAGCCATTTTGTAGGCCGAGCAGTCTGAAAAAGCCAACAAAACGGTTGAATGTACCATAAAACACACCAAATTATCCAAATTTACGGCAATAACATTCCTCTTGCGTTCTACCGCTCTCTCGGAAGACTTGAAACGGCATCAGATCTCTGAAAAATGTAAAAAAATGGTCAGAAATAGGTTCATTCTCATAGAAAATTCAATTCTTACCTTTTTAGTATCCATTTTGTAGGCCGAGCAGTCTGGAAAAGCCAACAAAACGGTCGAATGTCCCATAAAACACACCAAATTATCCAAATTTACGGCAATAACATTCCTCTTGCGTTCTACCGCTCTCTCGGAAGACTTGAAACGGCATCAGATCCCTGAAAAATGTAAAAAAATGGTTAGAAATAGGTTCTTTCACAAAGAAAATTCAATTCTTACCTTTTTAGTATCCATTTTGTAGGCAGAGCAGTCTGGAAAAGCCAACAAAACGGTCGAATGTCCCATAAAACACATCAAATTATCCAAATTTACGGCAAAAACATTCCTCTTGCGTTCTACCCCTCTCTCGGAAGACTTGAAACGGCATCAGATCTCTGAAAAATGTAAAAAAATGGTTAGAAATAGGTTCTTTCACATAGAAAATTCAATTCTTACCTTTTTAGTAGCCATTTTGTAGGCCGAGCAGTCTGAAAAAGCCAACAAAACGGTTGAATGTACCATAAAACACACCAAATTATCCAAATTTACGGCAATAACATTCCTCTTTGCGTTCTACCGCTCTCTCGGAAGACTTGAAACGGCATCAGATCTCTGAAAAATGTAAAAAAATGGTCAGAAATAGGTTCATTCTCATAGAAAATTCAATTCTTACCTTTTTAGTATCCATTTTGTAGGCCGAGCAGTCTGAAAAAGCCAACAAAACGGTTGAATGTCCCATAAAACAAACCAAATTATCCAAATTTACGGCAAAAACATTCCTCTTGCGTTCTACTCCTCTCTCGGAAGACTTGAAACGGCATCAGATCCCTGAAAAATGTAAAAAAATGGTTAGAAATAGGTTCTTTCACATAGAAAATTCAATTCTTACCTTTTTAGTATCCATTTTGTAGGCCGAGCAGTCTGGAAAAGCCAACAAAACGGTCGAATGTCCCATAAAACACACCAAATTATCCAAATTTACGGCAAAAACATTCCTCTTGCGTTCTACTCCTCTCTCGGAAGACTTGAAACGGCATCAGATCCCTGAAAAATGTAAAAAAAATGGTTAGAAATAGGTTCATTCTCATAGAAAATTCAATCCTTACCTTTTTAGTATCCATTTTGTATGCCGAGCAGTCTGGAAGAAGGATGAATACGGTCCAATGTACCATTAAATACATCAAATTATCCAAATTTACGGCAATTACATTCCCCCTGCATTCTAATCCTCTCTCGGAAGGCTTCAGCATTCCTAAAAATACAGAAAAATCATAAGAAAAGGGGTTTTTGTTAGAAAAAATTCAAACCTTACCTTTAAAAAGGAAGAAATCGGTCGAAATTGTCATGAAACTTTCCAAATAATCCGAATTAACTATAAGAACATGCATGCTAATCCTCTCTGGGAAGGTTTATATAGGCTTCAATATACCTAAAAATAAAGAAAAATCATTAAAAAAAGGGTCTTTCTCATAAAAATTAATTCCTTACCTTTTTCTGTATCCATCCTTGCGAGAAATGGAGGTCGAACGTTCCTGTAATACCATAAAAAACAGACATTTAATAAAAAGCAATATTTATACAACTAAAAATACCTTTTAATTGGAGTATTGTTTAATTTAAAATGATTTACTTACCTAATTATCACTGAAAATCGCACAAAAAACTGAAAAATCGACACAAAAATCGCTTCAAAAATTCTTGAGGAAAATGTCGCCGAAAACCAATTGAATTGTCAATAACAACGGGATTCAATTATTTTTATCGAATGTATATTACGAATAAAGGCAAGTACCAATATCAAAAATATCAATACAAAAATTAGGAATGACACTTGACATGACATTTAACGTACAGGTTTTTTTTATTCTTTTTATAAAGAACAGGGCTGCGCCCCCTTACAACCCCCCTTTCTCTTTACGTTCTTTTTTTGGTAAGGGGGCTGCGCCCCCTTACAACCCCCCTTTCTCTTTACGTTCTTTTTTTTAGTAAGGGGGCTGCGCCCCCTTACAACCCCCCTTTCTCTTTACGTTCTTTTTTTTAGTAAGGGGGCTGCGCCCCCTTACAACCCCCCTTTCTCTTTACGTTCTTTTTTTGGTAAGGGGGCTGCGCCCCCTTACAACCCCCCTTTCTCTTTACGTTCTTTTTTTAGTAAGGGGGCTGCGCCCCCTTACAACCCCCCTTTCTCTTTACGTTCTTTTTAGTAAGGGGGCTGCGCCCCCTTACAACCCCCCTTTCTCTTTACGTTCTTTTTTTTAGTAAGGGGGCTGCGCCCCCTTACAACCCCCCCTTCCTCTATATGTTTTATTTTTGTAAGGGGGCTGCGCCCCCTTACGACCCCCCTAACATAGCGGCTCGAAGGCCTGCGGCCTTCTTCGCCGCATTACACTCACCTGGCCGGATCCTCGCTCGCTGCGCTCGCTCGGTACGATTGGAATTTCGCTTGGAAATAAAAAAACATTCCGTATATCAATTTTTTATGATAAAATCGCCCCGTACATCAAATTTTCATTTTTTCTTAACGAAAAAACACCCTGTACATCAAAAGTCCCGTCGACGTCTCCTTAGAAACGTCAGTGACATTTTCAGTCAATGTGAGGTTGGTTCTTTGCCGCTGTCATTAGTGTACACTTTTCGATATTAATTTAAACATTTCTCGGTTATTCGTCAATAAAATGAGGAGAAAACTCAAAGGTTAGTAATTTATTGTACGTTCTTTCATATTCAACCGTTGAAAGCGGCTAAAAGGTTCAAATTAAGAAAAAAAGTTACACTAAGGTAAAGTTCCATTCAGAGTAAACGAACGCAAATCGTCCATCAAATAATTTTTTCTAAAATGTGTCAAAAATTTCAACTTTAAATCGATATTGTGAACGAAAACGAATTTAGCTGGAGAAAAGAGGTCGATTTTCGTAATCAGCGAATTTTTTCACGTCCCCCCAACTACCTCTCTACGCCCAAGTAATTCATTTTGCATTTCTCTCGCCAATCAGTCTATATCACCTGGGGTTTTATATATATAGTGACTCGCTAAACGCTCGGAAAGGGGGCTGCGCCCCCTTTCAACCCCCCTTTCTTACGGTGGCGGCTTCGCCGCAAGACAGTTTGCTAGCCGGAGCCTCGCTCGCTGCGCTCGCTCGGTCGTGATCATCCTGTACATCAAATTTTCACATTTCCTTAACGTAAAAACACCCTGTACATCAAATGTCCAGTCGACGTTTCCTTAGAAACGTCAGTGACATTTTCAGTCAATGTGAGGTTGGTTCTTTGCCGCTGTCATTAGTGTACACTTTTCGATATTAATTGAAACATTTCTCGGTTATTCGTCAATAAAATGAGGAGAAAACTTAAAGGTTAGTAAATTTATGTACGTTCTATCATATTCAACCGTTGAAAGCGGCTAAAAGGTACGAATTAAGAAAAAATCTTGCACCGCGGTAAAGTTCCACTCAAACTAAACGAACGCAAATCGTCCATCAAATAATTTCTTGAAAAATGTGTCAAAAATTTCAACTTTAAATCGATATTGTGAACGAAAACGAATTTAGCTGGAGAAAAGAGGTCGATTTTCGTAATCAGCGAATTTTTTCACGTCCCCCCAACTACCTCTCTACGCCCAAGTAATTCAAATTTAATTTCTCTCGCCAATCGGTCTATATCCCCTGGGGTTTTATATATATAGTGACTCGCTGAAAGCTCGGAAAGGGGGCTTCGCCCCCTTTCAACCCCCCCGCGGCACAAAGCCAAGGCCTACCGGCCTTGTCTTTCGTACCGCGGTTTTGGTCACTGACCCGAAAAGTAAAAGGCTTATGAAATCTGATGAAAAAACTGCCCACATTACTAAAAAAACTTTCCTACAGATAAATCAAATTATACCTTTAAACCGAGCGAGTGAAGCGGATGACGAGCATCCCAAGTAGTTATGGTAGGCTTCTCTCTCATAGTTAATTTTTAATATTTACCCTTCACTAAGCGAGCGAAGATCATGTTCCCCAAATGTCTAAGTAGTAAAAGGCCACAAAGTCATCAAATTGCCGGTGCAGAATACTCTCCAAAATTTCCTAATTAACTGTATGAATAGTCTTAACACGTTCCAATCCTCTCACGTTTAAAACAGTTACAGAATCCTAAAAAATTAATAAATACAATTAGAAATGGGTTCATTTTCATAGAACATTCAATACTTTTCTTTTCAGTATTCACTTTGAAGGAAAGCATTTTGGTAAAAGGTAAAAGAAAACTTCGAAATATGCATTTATACAGACGTTTATAGTAAATGCTCGATGACAAAAATCAGAAAGAACCAGATAATAAATATTTTTTTAAATCATTTAGAACTGTCTAAAACTATTTAAAACATTCTAGAATAATTAAGAATACTTCGGAATCATTTACAACGCTTCAGAATCATTTAAAACTATATAGATCATTTAGAACGTTCTAGAACCATTAGAACCCTCTACAATCATTTAGAACTATCTAAAACCTTTTAGGATGCTCTAGAGTCATGTACAAAGCTTTTGCATAATGTAGAACGTTCTACAATCATTTAGAACGCTGCAGTATTTTTTGCAATTTTTCAGAATCATTTAGAATTGTTTAAACCCTTTTTTATACCGTTTTAGAATTATTTAAAATGCTCCAGTAATAATTACAATATTTCAGAATCATTTAGAATTATTTAGAAGACTTCAGAATCCTTTACAACTGTCTTAACCCATTTAGAACCTTTTAGAATCATTTAGAATGCTCCAGTATCATTTACAATATTTTGGAATCCTTTTGAACTGTTTAAACCTATACAGGTCGTACGAACTGATCCGCTGCAAGCATACAATGAGAATTATGAGATAGCTAATTGAACTTTTGCTATGTAAGGAATAAAGAGAGCATACAAAATAATCACGCCCGCTATCCCCGCTATTCGCTAGTGGACGAAGCGAAGCGAATTGACGAATTCTAATATCGGCCGGCAACCGATAAACAAGTTTCTGTTCTTTACTATCTTATAGTATTGATTGAGATTCTAATTCTAATGCTTGCAGCGGATCAGTTCGTACGACCTGTATAGAACGTCTTAGAATTATTTAAAATGTTTCAGAATCATTCAGAACAGTCTAGAATAATTTAGAACGTTCTACAATCATTTAGAATGCTCCAAAATGATTTACAACGCTTTAGAGTCATTTAGAACTGCCCAGATCTTCTGGTAAAGGAATCAATTAGAGCGAAAAATCCTGCTATCCAGGTGTCTTGACTAAGTTGTAGAAGACCGTAGAGATTACAGAAGCTTGAAACGGCTTCAGAATCCTAAAAAATAGAAAAAGAATCATTAAAAATGGGTTCATTCTTATAGAAAATTCAATTCTTACCTTTTTAGTATTTATTTTGAAGATATAATAGTCTTGAAAACGGAAGAAAACGGTCGAAATTCAAAGGAAACTCTCCAAATTATCCAAATTGACTGTATTGCTAGTTACATCGAGTTCTAATGCTCACTCATAAGGCTTGAAACAGCTTTATAATCCTGAAAAAATAGAATAAAAATCATTAAAAATGGGTTTATTCTTTTGAAAATTCAATTCTTACCTTTTTAGTATTTATTTTGAAGATATAATAGTCTTGAAAACGGAAGAAAATGGTCGAAATTCCAAGGAAACTCTCCAAATTATCCAAATTGACTGTATTGCTAATCATATCGAGTTCGAATCCTCTCTCATAAGGCTTGAAACAGCTTTATAATCCTGAAAAATAAAATAAAAATCATTAAAAATGGGTTTATTCTTATAGAAAATTCAATTCTTACCTTTTTAGTATTTATTTTGAAGATATAATAGTCTTGAAAACGGAAGAAAATGGTCGAAATTCCAAGGAAACTCTCCAAATTATCCAAATTGACTGTATTGCTAGTCACATCGAGTTCTAATGCTCACTCATAAGGCTTGAAACAGCATTATAATCCTGAAAAATAGAAAAAGAATCATTAAAAATGGATTTATTCTAATAGAAAATTCAATTCTTACCTTTTTAGTATTCATTTTGAAGACATAATAGTCTTGAAAATGGAAGAAAA